CCATCTCTTCCTCCATAGCAGCCACCCATTCTTTTCAATCTTTTGAACTCATTGCCTCATCATAAGTGTTGGGTTCTGATCGATGTATCTCTGAACCAGCCAGGAGTGCTGTATAGATCAGGTCAGCATAGCTGTACCTTGCAAGAGGTCTGATCTCCCTCCTGACTCTGTCCCTGGCTAACTGATATTGGGCCAGATTACCATGCTGATCCACTTCAGCATTGTCAGTAGGGTAATCTTCATCCTCCTGCTCTTGATTTTGTTGTGGTTGATCTTCAAGTGGATCAGTCTCATCTGTTTGGATGTATTGATCAGGATTAGTTTCAGGCTCCACCTCAAACTGAGTTGTCCCAGTTTGTCTAGAAGTTTCAGACTCTTCTTATGAGCTACCTGCACTGTTAGTACCAGATTTGCAAGGAAAAATTATTTCATTGAAAATCACATCCCTACTAACAATTACCCTAACCCCTGGGGCAGCCCTCTTCTACAGCCTATAACCCTTAGTTCCCTCTTGATGTCCCAAAAAAACACACTTAAGAGATCTTGGCTCTATTTTTCCATCTCTGGTATATGCATATGTAGCACATCCAAAGACTCTTAAGTGTTCAAGAGATGGTCTCCCTTCAGACCACTTTTCTTCAGGGTACTTAAAGTCTATTGAGCTAGAAGGGCTCCTCTTTATAAGATAGGCTGTTGTACCTAGTGCTTCCCCCCAAAAGGTTTTTGGTAGACCAGCTGTGAATAAGAGACATCTAACCCTCTCTAGAAGGGTTTTATTCATTCTCTCAACAACCTCATTCTGCTGAGGGGTTCCCCTAACTGTCCTATGCCTCAAAATTTCCTCTTCTACACAGTAAGAGTTAAACTCCAGATTACAGAATTCCAAGCCATTGTCTGTCCTAAAGGTTTTCACCTTCCTATTAACTTAGTTTTCAACCAGGTTTTTCCAGCCTTTAAACTTGGTTAAGGCTTCATCTTTGGACCTAAGCAGGTACGTCCATACCTTTCTGCTATAATCATCCACAATGGAGAGGAAATAGCAATTCCCTCTATGTGTTCTAACCCTTTTAGGACCCCAAAGATCTGCATGTACATAATCCAACCCTTTTTCAGCTAGATGAGTTCCCTTTTGGAAACTCATTCTGTGCTGTTTTCCCAACACACAAACTTCACAGAAAGTTAATTCAGATATGGATTCCTTACCAAAATAGTCTTGTTGGCTTAACATTGTCATACCTTTTTGGCCTATATGGCCAAGTCTCAAATGTCATTTCTCTGCAGCAGTCAAATTAGTAGATGATAAAGCAGAATTTATAGTGAATGCACAATGTTGACCACACAGAATATACAGCCTATTTTGTTTAACCCCTTCAAGCAAAATTTCATTATTCTTATACACAACTATGAACCCTTTTTCTGCCTTATAACTACATCCAGCTTCATCCAAAGTTCCTAAGGAAATCATGTTTCTTTTAAGGTCAGGTATATACCTTACTTTGGTTAACATTATGACTTTACCATTATTTAACCTAATGGTTATGTTTCCTATGCCTTAAACTTTACAAGAGTGATTATTATCCATGAAGACAGTTTCTAACTCTCATTTCCTAAAGTTCTGGAACCATTGGATGTTTAGACTCATATGAAAAGTGCATCCCGAATCTAGAACCCATTCCTTACTGCTAGCTTGGTTTGAGACAGTGAGGGCTTCTGAAATTTCAATGCCAGTGCTAGTACTAGCTAAATTACTATTTGTATTGTGATGTTTTTGTTTCTTTATCCAATCATAGCAGTTCTTCTTAAGGTGGTCTGGTTTATTACAGTGAAAACACTTCCTAGTTTCTCCCTTAGACTTGTTATTCTTCCCTTTTTTCTTAGTCTTAGGGTTCATGTGTTGCTAGAAATTCTTGTTACTATCCCTTCCTAATTGTCTAGGATCTATCCTACTTTTGACAAGCAAGTTATTCCCATTCCTTTTCTGTATTTTCAACTCCAATTCCCTAGTTTTCAGGCCAGCTAGAATCAGGTCAACACTGGGAACTGTCCCAGTGTATTGTAAAGCATTTTTCACCACTAAGTACTCATCAGGCAATGAATTTAACAGTATCATCGCCAAACTAGAATCTCCTAACTCTTGATATGTACCTTTCAACACTAATGTCATCTTAAGAAACTCATCAAGGTTTTTTTCTACAGACTTAGTAACATCCATTTTATAAGAGAATAAAGCTCCTTTAAGAAATGCTAAGTTTGGTGCAAACTATAAGGAATAAAAGGATTCGAGTTTACCCCAAAGTGTGAGTGGTGTTTCCATGCCATCTATCTTTCGCAGGACTGCATCGGACAGATTCATTATTAGATTATAGGCTTCCTCATCCACTTCAGCCTTCTTTTTCAGTTTCTTTTTAGACCACTTGGTGGTATCTTTTTTCAGAGCAAGCCCTACCTTATTATGTGAAAGGAGGGCCTTCATAGTCTTTTTCCATGTATTAAATCGATCTTCCCATCGTATTGGGAGATCTCTATACGAGTAGTGCTCATTGTATTGTAATGATGGGGCAGGACAGTCTAAGGAGTACGTGGCGTTGTTATACCAGAGGTTGCCAAGTACTGTCAGGCAGTTTTTAAGGCAGTTACTGGTGTTCCAACCGAAATACCCTTAAACCGTATCAAACAAAGCTAGACACAAACAAGACGAAAGTGACAAGACTACTACAACCCTTAGACAATACCAAGATTTCTCCCCTGACTCGTGTTTGTGACTCAGACTAACCAATTCGACCAGATTCAACGACAATTCGAAACCCTAAAGCTCTATAAACGTTTAATCCGAAAAACCCCCAAATCCTAACAAAACCCTAATTTCGATTTTGCACAAATTTCGTCGATCCCTTGTGTTTGTAACCTAATCTCACGAATTAATCTCAAGACTCAGCAAGATTCGAAGTCCTAATGATCTAAGAACCTTTAAATCGAAAAACCCCCAAACTGACAAACCCTAATTTTCGAATTCGTCAAGAATCAAACGATTTCTAAACCTAAATAACCCTTAGAACTTTGGCTCTGATACCACTGTTATAACCCAAGCCTAATTAATCAATTCGCAACACAAACAAACACAATCAAGATTCAAGATCAAAACCACACACACAAAATCAAGGCACGAATTTACCGTGGTTCGTCTATCCAATCTTGGATAGACTACATCCACATTGAGCTCCGAAATACGGATACTCACAGTACTAAAAGAATATCCAACGATTACAAGAAGACAACCATACAAATCTGCCAAAACAAATCAACCCTCAACCTAGGCCTATTCGCTCAAGAATCTCTCAATAATATGCAAGAAACAGAGGACAAAAACCAACCTCAAGAAGGAAATGCAACCCTCTTTCTAATCTACCCAGATTATACCCAGAAAAACCCAGCAAATACTCAACCCTATTTGCTTTCTAATTTTTCCTCTCATGAACCCTAACCTTTTCAGATTAACAAAAAACATCGGCTGTTCACATCACTGTTGCTTCTTTTATATATGCCCATATCAGTAAATATCAGCATGTGGATTTGTCTTGATCTGACGGCTAGAATTCCACCAATGAACTTAAATAAAACGACCCCGTTTTGGCTTCACATTATTTTTCAGCTGAAATAGCTACTGCAATTGCTGTCTTGAGGAATTATTGGGGTGTTTTTCTTCCTTAAAAAAATAAAGAGGGTAAGGATGAAACAGTCCTTATCTATTACAAAATATTACATGTACGAACAAATTGATGTGACATAAAATGAATGAAAGAGCGAATATAAAAAGTCAAACTCATTATATTCACTTTTTCATTTATTTTGTGTCACATTAGTTTGTACATAAATCTTTATATATTTTGTGTCACATCAGTTTGTACACAAATCTTTATAAGACTTGTTTATACACGTAGCATTACTCTATCTATTATCTACAACAACCAAATATTAGTAATTTGGTTTGGTATTTCTTGTTTTATTTCTATAATATGAGTTACATGCATACATTCCTATAGTTACCATAACCATGTTTAGTTGTCAAATAATAAAAGATTCTGATAATCTAAAAATTTGAATACCACCCATTACTTGAGTATTTTAAGATTATTAGATAATTTTTTTTTTTAATTTTACCCTTAATAATATTAAAAAAGAAAGATAATTCAATAAAAAACTTCTTCCAAAATTCTTTTATTCCTCCCAACCAAACATATTAATTATTCTAATCCAACCAAACATATTTAATACAACATTCTAAAAAACACCCCTTAAAAGTAAGATTTAGATCCTTATCAGATGAAAACTGTTTAAATTTTTTAATAGAAGTAAAATACAATAAAATATCTCTAGATAATTTGGCCTTTATCATCCTAAGGTGAGACACGCGTCCTGTCATGTGTCAACAATATTAAGGCTAAGGCTTTCCAACGTTATAATCCAACAAACCACGTGGGTTGTTTTGTATTATGTAGGATCCATCAAAATCAATGTGTTATTACTCCTTTGACACTAAAGAAGAAACAATCAAATTGCACACAACACAATTCAAATACATACCCAAATGAAATAAACGCCAATAAAAATAAAAAAACAAAAGCAGAATTAAAAATTTACAAAGCTAGGCACAAGAAATTCCATGGATGTTTACTTGCCATATCATCTGGAAATTGCACAACCAATTTAACAGAAACTGCTAGAAGAGAGAATATATGCCATATGACATGACATACATTTCACAGCTAGCCAAGACAAAAAGTCCATCAAACCAGAGACCACAGAGATTCAGACCCTAAACACTGAAGCCAACATACAAGTTCTCGCCAATCATAAGATATAGAGTTCTTCATACTTTGCAGAGATGTCCTAACTCTCATTCATTCCCCTCTCCAGCATCATATATAACAATAAATAAGGACACCTGATAACATACGCGGCCAACTCCGAAGAAGCCCCACAGATGAAAATGACCATCACTATTTTTTTTGGTAAAATTGAAACGTTCGTTCGATTTAGATTTTATCAAGCTTCTCTGCCTTGATAACAGGGTTTGCTTTCGCTATTGCATCCCGTGCTGCAGTGCGGTAATCGAAGGGGCAGTTGTGTTTGTCTGAGTAGCGATGTGATGCACAGAACATGTTACCACAGCGACATTTGAATCCTGTCAGGCCAACCCGCTTCTTGCAACTGTTGCACCGGTTAGGACCCTCCTTCGGCTTTGCCTCAACACTCTCCCCTGAGCTTGAACCACATGAGGGCTGCTGCACAGAGATGACTTTTGACTCCACTGAACTAACTTGCACATCCACAGTGGCAGCAGCAGCAACAGCAACAGCAACAGGTTCACTTGCATTGCTGCTTGATGATTCATTCACAAGGCTTCCAATAGATGATGCAGCGAGCTTAGCTTGTTCTTGTTTCATCATCGTATCCTTGTAGCATTTGGAACACATATTCATCGTTGCCACACTTCCAAAGAAGCCACAGTTGTTGATGCACAAAATAGGGCGTTCAGGAGGAGCTTGGCATCCAGTCTCATCATTTTCCATTTTTTCACCTCTCCTGCACCATAAAAGTTGAAAACTTTTAGATGAAAAGAAATTCAAAGATTGAGTCTCGACTCATCCTTTGTGTACATTGAACAATAAGTGCATGCAAATGAAAACAGTAAGACATGAAGAACATTCAGGTTATTTTATTAAATATGACACTGTTAAACTATGATATAAGAGGAAAATAAATAGGTACATCAACGAACTAGAAATCCACAAAGCAATCAAAAGGTTGGAGCTTAATAAGAAACAAATTAGTTTTGGCTAATTGTGCCAAACTGAGCTAGAACAGCAATTCAAGCAAGCAACGCTCATTACACGGTTGTAATATGAAATGTTTAAAGCCAAAAAAAAGCTGTATTAAGCATATCACGTGTACTAACACCTTCTACCACGAAGCATATAATCTGTACAAGGCATTGATTTAGGTTGGTTTAGTCAAATCAATCCTCTCCAACCAACAAGAAAAACTTACCACGTCATTATGCTGATGTGGTGCATCCAACCGCACATTTAGACACACATGAATGTGAAAAGAAATTGTAAAAGTGGAGATAATTTTTTTTCTTTTAGAAAAATAGCCTCGTGTCAATAAATGAGTGGGTGGATGCACGACATCAACATAATGATTTGATACATAAAATGCACTCAAGTCTTTCTCCAAACCAAGAATTGAGCCACTTCTACAAGCGATGAAACAAAAGATGACATAGTTACAGAAAGTTGTGAAACAAATCAAGCAAACTGACTCATGGATATGTTTGGTTCAGTATTTCATGCCGCTGTATTCTAATAGCAACTCTAAATATCATAGAAGAAAATCATACTGACACCACTCAACTTTCAGTCAACCCTCTCACTTTCAGAACTACACTCCACACCCTCAATGTAAGTTGCTATTATGAAAATGATAGTATTTGACAGATCAACAAGATATCCCAACTAAGGTGAGATCTTCCAAGTCTTGAAGTGACACTAAAAAAATAAGCCAAATCTGGTTTCAAACCCAAGAAAGATCAAATGTTATTTAAATCACTATAACTGTTACAGTACAGACAATGAAAATGAATGAGTGAATGGGGTCTAGAACATGGTATGTCCAAATAAGTGCCGCTCCTTAAATGAGAAAACAATTCCATTTACACATGTATGCAACATTAAATATTTAAATTATATTCAAAAAAAGGACAATGATGTTCTCCTTATCTTAACTTTCCCAAACATTTTGAGATCTTGTGACAAATAGCAATAAAATTTTAAAATCATGATTTATTGATTAATATGTATCCTCATCAGCGACAAAATATACATTCTAAATTTTTATTCTAATTTCTCTTATGCATGCATTATTAACACAAATCTATTTCCCAACTCCAACTAGTTAACAAAGAAAAAATTGCGCACAGAATAACCCTGAAATGGTGCCAAAATCTATACAAAAAAAAAAAAAAAGGTACAGTCAATTCTCAAACTATGAACAACAAAATATCCTAAACCAAAAAGAAAAAAATGCAACCATGTTATGCAATTGAAGATTCCCAAATTTGATGAATTAAAAAACGGAGACTTCCTAAAATTATGAAGAAATAGATGCTGATAGAGATGCCTATATAAGAGTCCTTCTTGCTTATCCTTTTAGGAATCTCAACTTAATTAAAAATTTTAAAAGCTTCCTCAGAATGTTCAATGTCCACTTTGCTGGTTGAGTTTCATCTTCACAACCATAAATCTCAGGCCTCGGTTGGACTAACTTTTCAATAAGGTTGTTGTGAGTCAAATATATTACCAATATTCCAAGACTATTACTTTGTTAGATGCTATCTTTTTCAAAGACTATTAATGTTGGACGTGAATGATGGTATCAAAAACCAAAAGGTTTAGTTGATTTCGACCGAATGTCAAAGTGTCAATAATTTTTCTTGAATAAACGCATAAACCAGGAAATACAGTCAACAAAGAACAAACATCAAAATCAACCTGACACAACAATATATTTTGATAAACACACTGTCCCAATTATGCCCCACAATTTGCATATACACAGAACCAAAATAGAATCAATCAAACATGAGCACACAACATTTTATACAGTGACATGAAGTAAAACCCCAAACTTTTCAATAATTTCTAAAATTGCTCAGCCATCCCCCAATCCCATAAGTAAAAACCACAAACCATCAACAAAAATTAACAGCTAAAACCGATAGATGCTATCAGTAAAAACCAAACTCTGAGGCGACCGGTTCAATACATCAAAAAAGGAAGCAAAGCCAAATAAACTAAAGCTAGATTATTGAAAAGAAAAAAAATAACAGACACTTAAACATAACCCACTTGAATCAGCTTATTATACAAATTAAAAACGAGTTTTACTCATAAAAGTGTAACAAAAATTCAATCTCTAAACATGCCCAGAAAACAAAAACAATTTTTTTTTCTTTTTTTCTAATAATATATAAATCAAGCCCCAAAAAACATAACCCACAAAAATTTCCCTTAACACAAATACAAAAATAAGTAAAAAATCAACATTAAAAAAAACAAAACACTAACCTTTAGCCAGAGAAGTCTATAAATGAATCCCTAAAGCCGATCAAACAAGCTCAAAACGGCTCCGATGAGCCCTGCGTTTCAAAAAAAAAAAAAAAAAAAAAAAAAAAAAACCCAAAATCAATTCATTAAAAACCCAAAAACCCTACCAAAAAAAATTAAAAAAAAAAAACAGAAAAATCGAGAAAAAAAAAACACACAATCAAAACCAAGATCAGAAAACCTAACCCCAAAACGTTTTGGACCAGATCCGAGAGAGAGATTGAGATAACGGAAGCCGAAGAGACAAACCAGAGAGAGACGTTCCGAATTTTTTTTTATTTTTTTATTTTTCCCCTTCTGGTCTCTCCCTGATTTTTAAAAAGGCGTTGTTTCTCTGCCAACGAAGGCTCTTTATTGATTAGGAGCAACGTGTCGCCTCGCTATTGGATTGGCGTGTTACTTTATTTTTTCCATTTTGCCCTCCGCCGGATCCTTAATATCGGTTTTGACATGCTGGGATGATAGAGTGACAGGCAGTGAAGGCTGTGAGCTTGACGGTCGAATGAGAGTTGAGAGAAGTGGGCGTTTTGTATGTGATGGTAGTTGAGTTGTAAATTTTTTGGTAAGCAAAGTAATTAAAATTTTAATTTATTTTATTTTTGTTTAATAAAAAGATTAATAACCTTTTTGGGAGAATAATTAAGGATAATTAACAATAATTAATCACTTCATGAGGCTGGTACTTGGTACTTCACAGATAAAAGAGTTAATCACATTAAACCTCCTAAAGTATGATTAAACAGTAAAATCCTTTTGAGTTTTTTCAAATAACAAAAATTTTCCCACCATTAAATTTTAGATGTTAAAATAAGCAATAGGAGGGTAATTCGGTAACTACCTATTAACTTTGAATAGTATAAGTTCTAATGGCTCACTAACAATAACTCAATAAGAAGTTTTTTTGTCATTTTAAAAACTTTAGGGAGATTTATGTCATTCCATCATACCTCAAGGACTATAGTAACTCTAAATTGATTGGTACCCTTCATTGATAAAAATAGAACATCAAGATGATGCAAATTGCAAAGAAAAAATCAAGTACCCTTTTGTCCTTTAGATAAAATTTCATTGATATCTCTCTAGGTCAATTTTTATATTTTTTTTGTTAATTGAAGTATCCGGGTAAGCTTAAACGTACGTTGACTAATTCTCATATAAGCTATCCCACAACAATATATCGCCGCAGTCCCTCAAGAGTTTTGATTTTATTGGATGTTATAAAAGATTAAAAAAAATTAGGGTTTCAAGATTAATTTGATTAAAAATTGAAATCTTCGATACAAATAGATAATCCAAAGAAATTAAGAATTTAAAAACAAAAAAAAAAGTCAAGAAAATTTGTAATTAGAAATATACCAAGGCCTTGGATTTCCTTAGACCAAAAAGGTAAGAGTCCATAAAGATTATAGAGACTTTTATAAGATCTTATTAGAGTATCTTCAAATTACTTTTTATATAATCAAATTTTTTTATTTTAAATAGTTTATCCATAAAAATAAGAGTTCAACGGATTTTTTTATCCTTTAAATATAAATTAAAGTGTGAGTTTAACTCTTTACATCTAGAGAGTCAAATTTCACTCTCTATTATAATTTTAATTAATAAACTACAAGTTTCTATGTATTTTATTTATTATTTCTCTCTCCTATTAAGTCTCTTTCTTGAAAATAAAGAGCATCTTAATTAAATTTAAAGAGCCTATTAGATTTAAATAAAAATTTAGTTCTTTATTATATTTAGAATTTAATGAAAATATTCTTTATTTATAAGAAAAAATATTTTTTAAAGTAAAGAGCACCATTGAAGATGCTCTTAGATTTTGATTTAGGTGATTATATCACAAAATTAGGGGTGGACAAATACGGTAGAGTTCACTTTATTGGTCGAACTGGATCATAACAAATCAAAAAAATTTGGTGCAGTTTGGTTTATCGGTTTTTTAATGGAGGTTGTTTTATGTTTTAGGGGTTCTTTTTTAAAACTTTTTTAGGGTTTTATGATATTTGTTGGGTTTTTTTTTTTGAAATTTCTGAGAGTATTTTGAAAAAAGATTAAAATATAAAGAGGCTAGCTAATTAGCCTTGACTAGCATAATTACTAATTAGCTAGCCTCCGAAGATTTTTTTTAGTTAAAATAATTATTTGAATAGATAGGAAAAGTGTGGACAATCTTTTAGTTCCTTCAAACGAAATTGATGGTTTATAATTTGTGTTAAATGTATTTAAGTAAAAAAAAAAAAAACATATTTTTCATATATTTTTGTTAAAAAATCATGGAAGAAATTTCTACCCATCAAATTGGATTCTATCTAACTTCGTTGTTGTTTAGAATTCTATCTAATTTCGTCGATATTTCTAAATCGATGCCATATCAAAACTCCAGGATGAAATATAGTAACCAAATGTATATTTACTAATAAATTTACCAAAACTAGTCCATTATAAAGAGTACTATAAATTTTCTTTTAGCCCTCGCCCTAAGGGAACCGCACTATATTTTTGCAACTTCGCTGGGCAAAATGAATTCCATCGTTTCGATGTTTGGGTAAACGACAAAGATTTAGTGTGATGCCCAGAGTGCCCGTGGGTTATAAAACCAAATGACAACTCAGAAAAGGATAATGTATACATGTCTCAATAACAGTAAAAAAAAAAAAAAAAAAAACTTTTTTCAGAATTTCATGACTTACCAAAATTTCTTGTACTTTATAATGTTTTTGTTAGGTTAATTTATATTATATCGATAAATTAGTAATTTAAAAAAAAAAAATTAAATTGATACATATGACAACTCAGAAAAGAATAATGTATACATATCAGATTTTTCATTTCAAGTAATGTGTAATTTTATATAACATTAACGTGCGCAAATAAAAGATTTCCGTTGATCCTTGGTTTCAAACTCTTTTCGCCGGCTTTATTATTTGCTTGCCACCATGTATACAAAAGAAAGTGTACATATTCCACACTTCCACCGCATTTGAGAAATTAAAATTTTCATCTTGAGGTTTGGCTTAAGTAATACTTTAGTCATGAAAACTTTTCTAATAACGTTTTAGTCCTTCTCAGCTCTCAAGTCCCAATAACATTTTGGTCCTAACTAAGCAAATCTTACTATTTAGGGACCAAATGTTACTATCATTCTATCAAGGACCAAAACGTTACTGACAAATTTTACAAGACTAAAGTGATACTTACATCAAACCTAGAGATATTGTTATTAGAACCTTGAAAGCACGTGCTGCTACTGTGATTCCGATGTAGACTTGCCGGTTTTTCGGGCGGCAGCTGGTGGCTCAGTTTTGTCATTCTTAGTTCCTTACTTTCAGTATATCAACTTATCAACTTAAATTTGTGACACTAGTCAATAGATATACATAATTTATTCGTATATTCGAGCGTTTCGTTTGTGAATCGAAACATTATATTATAAAAAACTGGGATATATGTGAAGACTTTACAACACTTTGGCTTTAATTTACATGTTAGCATCAATCTCATCAGCAGCCATTGAAGACACTCTGAGATGACTGCTACATGACTAATTAGTATGGATTATTAGTTTCACTTTCAAAGTTGCTAATTAAGTTCCACCAGTACCATTTTTCTGAGCATTCATTAGGCTCTTTGTCAACCAGATTGCAGTCTCTCTCGAAGACACAGTTTCTTCGCCAAATGGCCTTAAAACACCGGCAAGATCCTCCAGCCTTTCCTGTCGAAGAAGATTTGCACAAATCTCTAGCAGTGATTCCAGGGCTTCTGCTCTTTGATGGCTCCGAGGATCCTGCTTTAGCCTCATCTCCTCGCTCTGCAGAAACGTTATTGTACTCATCAGCGAGTCACTAGAGTCCCCAATCAGTTCACGAATATCGCTTTTTCTTGCTTGTTTCAAAAGGCCAAGACCATTTTCTTTTGCTCCATCACTATTTCCACATTGCAGTGTTTTGCGCGCTGATAAAGTTCTTTCTAAACGCGGTGCATTGTGTTCATCTTTGTTATTTCTTCTCAATTCCGATGCCTTTCTATGATCAGTATGCACACCTTCTGTGTCAACTTCTTTAACAACTGGCAGTTCTTTTTGCATACTCTCCAACTTGGTTTCAAAATTTGAAGCATTTGCATGACAATTTTCTTCCCAAACAAACAAGAACTCCCTTGGTGGCGTCGCCTTTGTGCCTTTTGTTTCTTTTCCAGTGCCAAATTTGCTAGCTAATCCGGTTCCTTTTGGTTTATCCCTGCAGCTGAGCTCAGACTTTATCGGGAGAAACACAGGCGATAACTTGTGGCATTGAGCAACATATGGCTCCAAATGGGGATGCCTCAACAGCTCCGCGGCCTAAAATATGGCACCATGAAATGAAATTATTTCACACACATTATCATGTCCATTTACAAAGAAATCGAAACACAAAATCAGCCCATTTGAACTCACTGTTGGCCTGTGTTCCGGGTTCTTTCTCAGCATGCTCTTAATCAATCTTTTCCTGCAGTCGATAAACTTCCCGTAATCAGTATGCATAACACATTACTATCATAATTACAGAGGAGATTCATGACATTGTACTTACAATGACGACGAATATGCAGTTGGCAGTGGAGAAATGAAGGACCTGTTTATTTTGCTAATAAGTCCAGCCATATCCTGATTCACAAAATTTCAATAGATCAAAATGGGCTGATGATTCAGCAGTGTAGGCCAAGCCAATTATACTTACAAGAGCTCTGAATGCAGGTTGATGTGCAGCAATTTCAAATATGCAGCAACCTGCCATTGCCAGAACAGTGAAATGTCAATTCTGGGAAAATGATAAAACCTGGTGGCTAAATCAGACCATAATTGAAGATATATTATAATGTTTAATGTTTATAACCTAAGGACCAAATATCGGATTTGTAGCCATAGGGTATATCAGCAAGTAGCTCTGGACACATATAGTTTGGAGTGCCCACAACCTGCATAAATATAAACATGAGAAATCAACTAACAGAAGTAGTTTTTATGAAGAACAATCTAAGATCATTTGACAAACAAGAGAAAATAAACAGTTACAGTATGAGTACTAATTCAATATGAAAGATCGTACGAATGCAAGATTAGAATCACTCAACTCTGATACCATAAGTTCTCTTTTTATAAAGGCCCTTCTTAATTTAAATCCCCACTAAAAGTGTTTTGAGTTGAACACCTAAGTCTCCTAAATTCCTGTCAAATCAAGTGTCTTTCTTCTGCACCCTTAACTACTTCTTTGAACTAAAATGATCAAAGTTATACAAATTACAGGATATACTAAGGGATTGAAAAGGAAGTGTATCCATTACCGAGGAAGTGAGTTCATCTTTGCCGAGCAATTTTGCAAGTCCAAAGTCACCTAGCCTTATGTCATTTTCTTTTGTAAGAAATATGTTGGAGCACTGCAATTACATAAAAAACATAACTTCAATTTTCATATCATGACCGTCCTCTTCTATCAGGTAAAAGCTAAATAGAGGTACATACTTTTATATCCCGGTGAATGACACGATTCGAGTGAAGATAGTCCACAGCCAGCAGCAGCTGAGTCAGCCATTTGCAGAGCTTCTGAAGAAGAGAAAATTGAACATAATGTGGAGTTAAACAAAAATCTATCATGTTATATATATATATACAAGTTAAATCTAGAAGCACCCTAGTTTCTTAGTTACCTCTTCTGAAGGAACTTTCCCTTTAGAATTTTTTATCATGGCAGCCCTGTAAGATCATTATCAAAGTAAGAAAATTGAGCTTGCATAAGTAAGAAACAATCAACACTTAAAAAGAAAGCTTTCAATGAGACAGACAGACGCATGCACACAAGCACGTTTCATACGCTGTTGTAGCGTGTCATATGTCTTTCTTACTAAAGAATTTTCCTCAATGTTAGCACAAAACTTACATGTCTCCTCCCTCGCAGTAATTTGTCACAATGCACACAGAGGATTCCTGCAAAACATGAATGCATATAAACAAACAAAATGTATTCACCAATCTCCATGGTGTGTGGTTGATAATTCTGGAGAAAATTTATCAACGGTGGCGTTTCCACGGATTACCTTTTCCACCCATGAATCTTTGTACTCTACTATATATGGGTTCTTCAGCTTTGCTATCAAATCCATCTGCAAACACAAATAAATCTCATTCATTTAGTCTTTCCAACACCCCCTTCTATGCTCTTAATTTAGCAACGGCAATCATGCTTGAAGACGCGAAAGTTTAATGAAATTGTTGATGAAAAGAAAGAAGATTACATCATACAGGCATCAAAAACATGTATTGAAACAACATAATCAGTGACAAAGAGGACGAGAGAATTAGAAAATTAACCTCTTGAAGAGCAGTACGCTTGAACTTAGCTGTTTGTTTTGCTAAACGGATCTTCTTCAACACATACCTATACATACAATAATTGATGATATAATTATGGAATAAAAACATGACATCAAGAGAAAATAATTGATTTACTTACTTCTTTTTCTCAGATTTATACTGAACTAAAAAAGTAGCACCGAAAGCTCCTCTCCCAATCTGCTCTATCACTTCATAATCCTCCATCTTCGACACCGTTTCATCGTGCTTGATCTCCATTTCCATGTCAAAACACCAGTACTACTAACCTTAACCACAAGATCACCTCCTCATTAAATCGAATTAAATATGAGTAAAGGAAAACCCACGGGAAACTGCACACAGCATTAAATGCTATGGTGACACGACAAAGGAGGACTATCAATAATAAGACTTTTCACAGGAAAGTTTTTCCTGGGAAAATTCTTGGAAGAATAAAATTTGGTTTTGATTTGAAAAAGGAGGGAAGAAAAAGCAAAGAAAATATAAAAAAAAGCAAAAGGGTACAGTGACAGGTATGCCAACCAAGTGTAAAATTGTTAAAGGCAAAGTTTGCTTATAGTTTCAGATTGCAGAGAAAATCATGGCCACCATGTGTAGTTGGTATGTCACTTTCTCCCTAAACTGAAAATAATTGTCTTCTGGACATTTCAACAGCCAAAGATTTGTTCAAGATTTACATAGATACATATATAATGAACGTTGCAGAATTTCCATATTCAAGAAATTGATTGGTTCTCAGAACTCTTGCATTCATTATACTTCTCAGTAAGTTCTAATCCTGATTAAAAATAAAAATAGAATAGGATAAACGAATGCAATGCATCGCATCATTTATGTATTATCATATGGATTTATATGTGAAAATATATTTTATTAGTTACCTAAGTCTTTGTGGTCATCAGCTACCCTAGTTGAAATCAGCCACCAACCAAAAAGTCTTTCTCTTGTCTTTATTAAATACATAATGACAATAATCACCTTGAGATTCGATAAATAACGAAAATCTATTTACAGTTAAATTTTATGTCTTAAAATAAAGAACAAAGAATAAATGGTAGAAGGACACTTGGAAAATATATTTACAAACCCTTAATAGTGTAATTTTTAATGCCTCTATAGCGGTTTATTAAAGATAAATATAAGGGGCGTTTGGTTGGGGTAAGGTAAGATTATTAAAGTTATATCATCTTATATTATTTGATAACCACGTTTGGTTATCGACTAATATAATATTTCGGTAATCTTCAAATATCAATAGTAATTGTTGTTGGTAATATTGGAGGTAATCTGATTACCTCTATTTTCTTATGTATTCTAAGATTATTAGAGTAATTTTTTTTTTTATTACAATTCTATCTCTTATTAATAAAATTTTTAGAAAAAAATGCGCTTATTTTTAAATTTATTTACATGAATATAGCTTTTACTATTTCACCCAAATTAATTAATTTTTTTAACAAAATTACCCTTGAATTCAAAACAAATTGCAACCCACCTAAGCCACCACCCCCACCCACCTGCCTTCTATGCATCGTTAGGTTGTCGGCGGCCGGTAGTGGCTAGGTTGGTGGGGGTACTTTGTTGATTTTCCAAACTTTTATGATGAGATTATTTTTGCTAAATTTTTAAATGCAGGAGGGTTAAAATAATCCAAATAATAATCAATATTAAAAAGTAATATAATAATAATATTTAATTAGAGGACGATTCAGTAATTTAAATAACATACCCACCAATTTATTCCTTCCAACCAAACATATTAATATAACATATCCACTAACTAACCAAACACATTTTCTTAAAGATTCCCAGTAATCTTCAAGATAATCTAACATTCTCAATAATCTAACATTCTTTAAACCTTGAACCAAATGCACCTTAATGGTCATCCTTATTAGCAACCGATATGACTTGAACTTATGATCTTTTGAGTAATATATCTAAGAGTCTTTGTCTAAACAACCAAGGATGGTTACGGGGAAATTTTTGTTATTTCAAAAATCTGAAAAGGATTTTTTTTATTACATAAAAGCGCGAGGATCCATGTTTTTAACTCTTTAAAAGTTCGTACGAATTATTTCTTAATATATGTATATTCAATATCTTTTTTCGTATATTTTTATTATTATACAAAGTTGTCTCCACTTGCCAAATTTGTGATTCCGTCACATTTTATATTATTTGAAATAAAAAAAAAAAACGTTTCAATAATTTTAAAAAATTTATAGTAGAAAGTAGGAAATACTGATCAATTTGATGGAGACTAAAATCTACTCCCTTTTTTTCTTTTTCTTTTTTTCTTTTTTTCTTTTTTTTTAAATTTATGAGTATTCGTCACCAAGATTGTTGAGTCAATATTATGAAATCAAAAAGACTTCTTTCACAAGTCAAGTCTAACATGCTTGACGCTTGGGCAAAAATGGTGCGTTTGGTTTAGTATTTTAGATAGGATTTTGGGGATAGTATTGGGTTATTGGATAGGGGAGTATTACGAGGTAAATTTTAAAAATTTATGAAAAAGCCCTTAGGTTTACTAATTTAATTAAAGACCCTAACATATAAAATGACAAAAACACCCCCACCACCTGCAGTGCCAGATTCCGGCCACCACCGCCGGAATCTGGCCAAAAAATTTCGTTACGACACAGACCGGTCGGATCTGTGCCGTAACACGTCGTTATGGCCTTTTCCAGATCTACGGTCTGTTATGGCAGTCGACGACCGAAAAAGGCCAAACGACGGCCAAAGATGGCCGTCGTTGACCGAAAACGACGGTCATTTCTTTGGCCGTCATCTGGCCTTTTCCGGCCAGATTCGTGGTGGATCTGGCCGGAAAAGGCCACATCGGTGAACTTCCGGCCATTTCTGGTCGAAAGTTAGGCCGTTGTACAGATTCCGGCTATCACCGACGGTGGTTGCCAGAATCTGACAAGGTGGGTTGTTGGGGGTGTTTTTGTTAATTTTTAAACATTTTTTTAGGGGGTATTTAGTGAAATTAATAACCTTATGGGGTTTAAAAGTAATTAAAAAATAGAGTAATATTTCTGGAATAATGTGCCAAACATTATTTGGAGAATAGGATCCAAAATATGGATAAAAATATTAAGCCAAACACAGCATACTTTTTATTGATATTATTTTAAATCAATAATTACCTATTTATTTTAAATTAATTTATTAAAATTGTTAAAGTAAATGAAACATTATTTCATTGACCTACCATTTTACTTGATATTAATTAGTATAATATATATGTATTATATAAAAGGTATTATTTAATATACAACACAATATTTATACGAGCATTGTATATTATTAGTTAATATTATACAATACTTTTACTATTATATTGTCCATTAGTAAATCATGCTAATTGAATAAATAATTTAATCGATACTTTTAAAATACCTATACTTATCATTGTTATAATATGAAAAATAAGTAATAATAGTTGAAAATGAAAATTATATTAATGTCTCACATATAATTTAAATGAAATTCTCTATTTATAAAATAAAGAATACAACAAAACTTATATTTAAAAAAAAAAAAAAAACACGAAAACAATTTTCAAATATATAACAACACAAGTACACAATTGAAATTAGAGTTGATAGACCCTTAAAAATTCTCTTATTATTGATGAACGTCAAATTTTACACTATTATAAGTAGAGGTGAGTGGTTCCAAGTATCTTGTATTTTTTTAAGGAATCGAAACCGGCCGGTTCTTAAGATTTTGAATTAAATCAGAACCGAAACTTGAAACATAAGTTTCGGTTCCAATTTCGGGTAATCGGGCTAATTTTATTACCTCCCTCCTTTTAAAAATGATAAATGCACCCCCCAAAAAATACAAATACACCTTAATAATTTACAAAAATTACAATTAAATCCTAGTTCCTACTCGGGTACCTGGACCTCAGTTCCAGTTCTGATTCTCAGTTTCTACAGTGTTGGAATTAGAATTCTCGATTCCAATTTTTTAGAACCGAAATCGGACCCTAATAGGGTCAATTTTAATTTTACCCTTTACCCATACTCACTTATAGTTATAAGTTACCTAATATTATCAAATTACCTTTTTACCATTATTTCAACACCTAAAACTTTATGATAGAAGGATTTCTATCATGGAAAATGATAGAGTTACCGAAAAGTTTATATCAAATTTGTGCACCGAATGACGTGATAAAATCCTGACCGTTGATTAATATTAACTGATAATAAATCAACGGTCAGGATTGTACCACATCATTTAGTGCATAAATTCGGTGTACACCCGTCGATAACTGTAGCATTACTCTTCTATCATTTCCTGAACCTCAGATAAATTTTTGTTATTTTAACGTTAACTCAGGGAATTAACGTTATTAACTCTTTAAATTATTAAAATATCGAGTATATGATTTCTTATAATTTTTAAAATTTACTTTATTTTTCTTTTTAAAAATAATTATTTTTTTTATCCACCATTATCTCCATTATTAACAAAACATATATCCAAATTTTCCACTTCTCTCCAGTTGCTTCAATTCTCTCGAAGATTTATCCCCATCCCCCTCCTCGCAGCTACTCCCATAGAGAACCCAGGTCAGTTTCTCTTCAAGTGTTCCATTTCTTGTGTTCAATTGATTTCTCCATGACACCATTGACTAAAGCTTGAATTTTTGCTGAGTTGAATCATTAAGTGTATATATATGTGTATGGTAACTGCGCAGTTGCTTTCTGAAGCAGTTGTTTTGATTAAAGTTTCAACTCTTCACTATAATCTCTAAAGTTGTTTTCTTGAACTGGGTTTTTGAGTTCATGTATATATCTCAAAGGGTTTTTATTCTATTGAACTTTAGGTGATGTTTAAGATGACATGAAAATTGAGGTTTCTTGACTTTTTCAAGTTCAAACATTTCAGAATACTGTATTCTTTAATTCTCTGGTAGTTCAATGCTGTGGACTTTGAGAACTTAGAGGAGATGATGCAAAACATTTGGTTGATTGGAACCTTGGTTTGGAGTTGCTATATTTATTGCATCCAATGTGTCCATTTTGTCAAGATGCAATCTTTGAGTCATCGGATGTAGTTGAGCTTGTTTATAGAAACCTGGGGTCTTGGGGTCCTATCAGAGATGGGTTTTTTTCGTGGGGAAGAATCTGAAGATAAGAATACCAAGGATGAAGATCATGATGTGGTGTGTGAAATGCAAGAAGTAATTTAGAACTTTTTAGAAATTTTAACCAATCCAATGTGTGTTCACTAAAAGATGGGTCAATCTAGTTATTTATTTGGCATGTTTACATAGGTCCCCTTGCATTAGATATGACATATCTAAATTGTGAACAACACAAGAAATGCATTAAGATGAAATTTATAGTGGAATCCAGCATCACCCGAATCGCAGCTAACAAAAGCTATCCAACTTTTGCAGGGTCTGAGATAGGAAAAATATGTTGATAGCATTAAAGATGAGTATGCCGGCTCCATAAACAGGCATTCGTTTAGAAGATAAATCCAATGGTTTTCCTTTGGCTTCTTGTCCTCTCTCTGTCTCTAAACCATCTTGGGTGGTTCGAACTGAGGCAAAAACTTGTCTTTTCTCAAAATCATTTATAGAAATAGAAACAACCATCAGTACTGAAAGTAGTGCCATGTTTTATGTTGTTAATTAATGCTGTTTATTGCAGTCGAATGTTCGGAAACATGTAAGGAAAAAGCCAGATCCACCATGTGTTGTCTGCCAAGGTACCGGACGAGTTGATTGCTTCCATTGTTATGGAAAAGGTCTCTCCTCTTTCTGTGGGTTTTAATTTGTGAAATTCTTGATGCCATAGTAATTTTTTGCTCACCTAATTGGTATAAGAATGTCAAATCTTAATCAAAAAGTCTACCTCATCCATTCTCCATTTTTAGTTTATGTTCATTGACACTCGATTGGTGGGAGAGAAAAGGAAATTCAGAAGGAACAAAAGAAAGAAGTATTTCCCTTTGTATTTGTATGATGAAATGAAAGCAGGGTTATTCCTTCCCTTGTATTTTGCTCCTATTAATACAGAGGGTAGTGATGTTTAATACTAAAGAATAACAAAGGGAGTCAACTTGTTGAGTCTTGTCAATTTAGCATTATTTTTAGTTTCAATTTTGTGTTTATTTATGCTTGATTTGTATCAGTTTTCAGTGCTTGCTAAGCTCTGTGATTTTCCACTAAAAACATAAATTAGTTTTTAACATACCGTGATATTGTAGGCAGGACAAACCACGTCCATCTAGCAATGCTTCCCAAAGGAGAATGGCCAAAATGGTGTGTTATTGAATCATTTTTGTTACCTATATTTCCATTAGTAAACTGCATGGTTGTCACACAATAGTGCCAATCCGAACCGTTTGCAGGTGCAAAACTTGTGGTGGTAGTGGCCTCGGCTACTGCTCCCGTTGCCTTGGAACTGGGGAGTACAGGTCTAGAATGGGTTTCCATTTCATGAAGAAGGATTCTGATGACAAGAAGCCCAAAATTCGAGCCAGCCAAGGAGCACAAACTGCAGCAGATCGATTTCTTTTAGGAGAGCAATAGGACGCCAACCAGGAAATATGAAAACTGGATACACAGCTTGATACATGTCATAGGTTTGCAAGTACTAGGAAAACCTCCAAGCCTTCTCTTTACAATATAGATTGATAGATTAATATAATTTATGTTGTACTTCTTCAATGGAAGCAGTATTTCCAGTTTCGAATCTTAAATTCTGCACAATGCTAATTGAATTTGAGGCAGGTTTTCACTGTCTTTGCAATATAGACTGGTCGATTAACATTAATATTATTGTATGCATAGTATCTGATAACTTTTTTACTTTTGCACACAAATTAACACGCAAGATTGAGGGACTCAGAAGCTGAGAAAAGGAGGGAATGTGAAGGTGGGCATACACAGAAAGTTGCAAAATGATATATTAGTATCAGAGAATTTATTATAAATCTAGTTCCACAATGCGGAGGTATAAAATCAATGGATAAGAAGGTTATTTTATTCATATATTACATTCATAGAGAATTCGACCATTCAACTACAAGAAGATTCATAAAGGTGAGTGAATCCACCCTTCTCTTAGTTATTTTTTCATCTTCTCTATTTGAATAATTCTCTATTCTCCTTCTATTTACTGAAAGAAAATGCCAAAGAATGACAGGAGAAAAGCGCCAACCAAGGATTCAGCGACAGGCATGGTTGCGGCTGATTCACTAGGAGCAGCAGCTGCTGGTGTGGGAACTGATGCAGAAGGACCTGGAGCTGGTGCAGGAGCTAACACATCCTTCTTCGCCATAGTTGCGGTCATGGAGGCAGCTAGGATGAGGACAGCGCATAAGATCATCTTCATATCCATGGCGAAAAGGTTGAGTAAATTGGTAAAATAGAACTCGAAAATGAGATCTAATCACCGGAAATGCGAAGCCTTGGAGATGAAGAAGTGAGTAAAGGGTTTTTCTTATTTGCAATCCTGAAGAGAACTATGGGGTGAAGAGGGGTTATATAGGGAGTTTGCTGAGATTTTTTCTGGTTTTTTGAGGGTTGTGTGGATGAATTTGAATGAGCAAAAGCTGGCGAAGGGTGTGGTAATGTTAGGTAATTAATTACACTAGGCAGCTATTTGTAGTTCTGTGATGTTCAATTAGTTACTTGTAAAAGCCTTTTTTAGGTTTTATTTTATATACTCCTTGTGGGATTTTTTATTTTGAGCATACCCCTTTTTATTAAATATCCTTTTTCCTTTATAAAAAATCCCCCTTTCTCAGGGGATTTTCAATAATTATAGAGGGGTTTTTGATAGTTTTTGAAAATCTTGGTTGTGCTAAGATTAAACAATCTCATAAAGGGGTGTATCAAATAAGCCCAATTTTTTTTAATTGAATTATATGATAATTAATCCGTAATTAGGAAATAATAATACTTAAATTACCTTTGTTGATCATTTTAAGTAGTGGCTGTTATCGGCCTTTGAACAAAACAAAATCCAAGTAACAAATTAACGTTGAACCAAATATAATAGGATCTTGAGATCCTAAAGGCTCGGATTTGATTAAAATTTATAAATTAAAAATAACAAATAAAAGACTATGAGTAATAATTTTAAAGTCAATAAAAAATTTTAATAAATGGACACATCAAGGTATTGATAATTCTTTTATTACTTCAGCAGGTTACTCTTACACTCCAATGATTTCCTTTATATGATTATCAAAGAGTAAAAAATTATAGTTATTAAAAAAATATCCAAAGATACCTTGTATGAACCCTTTAAATAATAATTATTACGGGTTAATTTTATTCCGTCTAACTTAAATATGAGTGTGTTTGTCTCAGCTTATGAAAATTAGCTTACAAGCAACAAGTGCTTGTAAGTTAATTTTAACTTATAAGCATTTGAAATTTTAAACAATTATGTGTTTGGTTAAAGTACTTATAAGTGACTGATAAATAATTGACGTGTTTGATAAAATATGGCTTATAAGTACATTTTATTATAAAATGACTAAAAATGGTACTATATTAAACAAGGGTATACTATGAAAATTTAAAATTAAATAAGGATAATGTGGTAATATACTTTGTCAAATTAGCTTATAAGCAGAGTGCTTGTAAAAAAAAAAAAAAAANACTAATCTTCAAAGGGTGTTATCACACAGCAACCCATCATCGTGGCTTTCTAGATAAATCATGGACAAATGTACTACCTTTGCACCTAGTAGAGAATCGAACATAGGATTGTGAGTTGGACTATTTGCAGCTCTAACAGAGTTATGAAAGTGAATATGCTTAATAACATATATATGATAATACATAATAATTCAATTCTACGAAAAATGCGTTTAATATGTTTCATTTTAAATGATTAAAATATAATAATATACTGAAATTAATACAGAAAAATACATATAAAATTCTAAATATTATTTATCTATAATCGAATTAAATATAATTTCTAAGAAAAATAAAAATAAAAATAAAAACAGTTAATACTACACTCACAAACACTTCTCACTAATTTTCTCTTACAAATGCGACATATCAGCTCGTAATTGGTCAGCTCGCAATGGTCCTGCCTACCTAGCAATGGATCCCGCCTATCCAACCATGGGTCCTGCCTGACCAAATGCAAACTACCACATCAATGTTTTTGTGATAAAATTATGAGAAGTGTTTTTCAATATATCTTTTTTCAAAAACTAAATTTCATTTCTAGTTCAACACATATACTTAAATCCAAAAAAAAAATCAGTAGTTCTTGTTTGTTTAATGAATCTTGTAATCTTGAAAACCAGTTCTAAACTGATTCATATTCCTCTACAGCAAGGAATTCAATCTTCTCTACACTATATAAACCCAAACGTTTTTGTTTTTTTCAATTGACTTCATGTTCATTGGTTGCTTGGTCTGCAAGTTTCATTGAAAACACTGAGCTACTGCGGCTTCTGATTCCTGAAATTTCTGTAAATTAACAACAATGGCTTCTGCTAATGCCCCCCAAGAAAGCCTCTTGCTTTCTCTTTCTGGTCATGGCTCTTCAACTTCAAGAACCCATCAACCAAGTCCCATGCCACCCACCCACTATGACTCCTTCCTTTTCACAAAGTATCTGAACTGTTAGTTGATTTTAGGATAGAGATTCTTCTTGGACAATTCAATAAGGTTTTGATATTACATTTCAGGAAGAGCCTCTTTCTTGTGCTAATTTGGTCTGCGACATACGAGGATGAAATTTACTTGGCTCCTTCAAAATGTCTTGATTGAGGATGTGTATGTAAGTTGCTTAGAGAGTGCAAATTTCCTCTGAGCTTCATGTGTAGTATACAGCCTTTGTATATAGCTGGATTGAAGAAATATCATATTGGCATCTCTTCTTTAAGGATGAAAATTGTTTAGCAAAACATCTGCTATATTCATGAAGAATTTGGTTCATTCTGCTAATAGTGCTTTTGGTATGCGCCTCTAACCAATGAAAATACTTGATCTTTAGTGAAAAGCATACATTGGACAGCTCCTGCTTCGGACTAATTATATTCTTAATGCTTAATTATTCTTGCGGGATGGAAATTGATACTGTAAAGAGCACTGTAGATATCGGAGATGGGCATTCTTTTAAGTTAACAGGGTGATAGGAAAAAGCCACGAACATTCTGTGAAAGGAACAAATGTGAAGAATGAAGAGAAAATTGGTGGAGCTGGGAATAGACATTTACGTAGTTACCATCATGCATATGATTTATTCTCAATCAAGTAGCTAAATTCTGTAAATTGGTTTTTGTTCTTAGCCTTAAAACATTCTTTCAAGTTACTCCTACCATCATTTTTCTCATATTTCCATACTCGCCCATCAATAGCCAAATGATTAGCCCTATATTGAGTGTTACCCTTTCCTAATTTGAAAGAAGAAATTCTATCTGTTGCAGCTGTATCCTGGCCATAGAAGAATGTCAGTAAAATATCGTCAAACCAGATAATAGAGTCTTTGTTTGGATTTTTAATGTCGAGGTTATATGTGAGGGAGCCGTTCTGCAATTTCGAGGTTTAATTTCAAGGATGAAAAGAGAAATGGTCAGATTTTCAACTTAATATTGCCTGTATAACAAATGTGTTTACTAATTCTCTATTCACATCCAATTATGATAAGCATCATTTAGCTCCACAAACTGGATGATCAATTATCAAAACCTTATAACAATTCATCAAATAACTAAACAAGAAGGATGTGTCTTTCAACTTCTTACAGTAACACAGTATCTAGAAGTGAAAAACTTGTAGTTTTCCCATTAACAAAAAATGAATTCCTCAATCCCATTTCATATTCATGCACATTGAAACAAATATGTCGTACTAAACAATATATCAAAACTTAAAACAATGTTCCTTTGATACATTACTTCAATTAGTATAATCAAATTCAAAACTAAACCAATATAGCAAAAAGGAGAGAACCTATTTAATATACATTTCATTGATGTCAGCTCGAGTAACTTCCTTTAAACAATAAAAATAAGGAAAGCAACAATTAAGTAATCCTTCTTAAAACTCTACCTTTTCCCCCCTTCTCCTTAGGCACTTTGTTCAGTTCCAAGCGAAGTAAGACATTTTATTTTTTAAACACATATGAGATTTAAAATATAAATGCAGTTGAATAGCAGATCTAAAATATATGTGCTGCTTCTTCTTCAGGTCATACCATGAGGTCTATTTCTAGGAGAAGTTCAAGCAAATGCAAGTTAGACCAGGGCTTCCTCTCTTCCTATTCTTCCATCATCACCACCTCAACAAAATTAGAACCAAAGCAAGTTCATTCATTCATGTTTTATCCTTGCACACAATAGATTAAAACTAATAATACAAATGAAAGTAAATATCTCTTTCTCTAAAGTAGAAAGTACAACCCCAACTTCTGGAGAAGCACAGCAATTGCAAATGTTCTACAACACTTTGAATCTTCAAAAAACAGAAGTGAAAATGTACTAATTCTAAGGATGTTTTTATATCTCTACCTTTTACACATCGGCTCTGCTATCAACACCGAGTGACTCCAAACTTTCAATGCATGTAGCAGCTTCAAAACCAATTGTGTGACGAGGTAAGGAAAATTTGTTGTCTTCTTCATCCCTCAAACCATACCAGACCAAAGTCTTGGACCCGACAGTTAGGAGAAGTTTTTTACCCTTATCCGTATATGCCAAAGTCCTAATATTGGTTTTGTCAGAGGCTTCAAACACAACTGAATGTTGTTTAATCCAAGTCCAGGGTTCCCTGTTTTTTGCCACCCATATGACAGCAGTGGAGGAATCCTCATTTGATGCACAGACACTCAAGCAATCTCCTAAAACCCCCAAACGGAGGTCATCATCGCTGTCAACATCTGGAACTTGCAGCAGATCAAATTTTTCCACACCTAGCTTAAACCTAACAACTAAGGGTTTTGCAGTTGATTCATTCATTGGTTTTGCAGTTGATTCATTCATTGATGCCAACCAATGTAAAGCACCATTTAGGAAACACCCATTCTTGGGAAAATCAGACACACCGAATGGGAAATCTCCGACCTTTGTCCACAAATTTGATTTTAAGCTGTAAACGTTTACATCAGTTACCAACATCTTACCATCCTTGAATGATTGGAAGATCTTGACTACCTTGTAGTCATTTGTCACCCCATCATGTCCAAATCCATGGCTAAAATGTTCATGCCCTCCCCGAATCTTGCAGTCCCTAGGCTCGGGTAATATTTTATACTCTCTGGTGAATGCATTCCAGAGAACAAGTCTAAATTCCACATCACGATAAAGGCAAATTAACCCATTGCAACAGCCCACAATTTCATAATCCCTGCTAAACCGTTTGCTGTAAACGTCTCTTAGTGCTTGATTATGAGAAACATCAACAGAACCTAATGTGTTAATCATCTTTTGGCCAAGAGGCTGACGGATCGACACAAACAAATGGAAGTTGTCGCTGTTTGTGTTGTTATGGTGAAGATACAACCTCCGAAAATCCTGACTGTTGATCAACCGACACAAGTGCGGTGATACACATTTAGAACGCATCAGCATCTTGACTGGAAGTCGTAGATTCACAAGCTCGATTATCAAATACTTATCAGATTCTGACATTTCTTCATGATTGGACCCAGAATTTTGACCCAAGACTTCCATAACTTTTCAAGAGCTAATTGATATTGTGAATTTCAAAACGATCAATTGTGAGGTCCGACCTTCCTGTCACTGACAAACAGATAATCATTAGTTAGCTGCTCTGTTTCAGGGCTCCGAAAGACAACAAGAATCATATAACCCAATTGAGTTTACCTCCTAATAATACTGTTATTATAACTATAAAAGATATTAAATTCATTATTTGCGGTAGGTTTTGCCATGGCATCAAAGTCATCAAGTTTAACAAAGATACGTGAGAAATTGTTATTTGGTTCAAGAAAAGTTACCCTAAAAGAAAGTTCAAGATCATACCTGGTCAGGCGCTCTCCTCCTCCGCTCCACAATTTCCCTGTTCCCGGTCGAAGTTATTTATTTTCAGCTGAAGCGAAATGGTGAGAAATTCTTGATTGTTTGGGAGGAATGAATTAGATAGGTGAGAAGAAGTTGTTTGTTTACAAAGAAAGTTCCAGATATGTAGCCTAGGGTTTGCAAACTTCCTTTCGGCTTAATGGATAACTATGTCCATCCGAAGCCACAGAGTTAGCTACATGGTTTTTGCGGCAGGTACAGTGTTAGATCCAAAGTTGATTCCCGCCGCGGGCAACACACATTCGGCAACGAAGCTATTTTTTAGGAAATTTCCAATTAGTCCCTGAAGATTTTAAATATGGAAAAGCACCCCCGACAAGGCTTACACGGATATACCTGCGCGCGGGAAAAATCATGTTTGACCTTTTCTTGTTTCCAAATCTACCCCTGCCTTATTAGATTGACCAGCATGAAATATTTATTCAACCAACTTAATATTATTTTGCGGCTATATACGAGAAGTATATTTTAATTTCACATTTTAGATGTGCAGTATCCTATGTTTTATTATTGTTTAATTATTAATGAAATTGCATATCTTTTTATTATATTGATATTGTGAGTAATTTGAAAAACATAATGCTTTTTATATCTATCAAAGATGATACTGGAGTCTTGAAACTTTATCTGATTAATCTTTGCCGTTGCTTGCAAACTTATATAGATTAATTGAGAATTATTGTAATTTCAATGATCAATGCTGGCTATACTTTTAATTTAAATCTAGAATAAATTATTTATAGAATATAGTGATGAGCAAAGGGGGTGTTTATCTGAGCTTATGAAAATTAGCTTATAAGCAACAATTGCTTATAAGCTAATATTAACTTATAAGCATTTGAAATTTTAAACAATTATGTGTTTAGTTAAAGTACTTATAAGTGACTGATAAGTATTTGATGTGTTTGGTAAAATATGGCTTATAAGTACATTTTATTATAAAATTACTAAAAAATGTACTACATTAAACAAGAACATACTATAGAATTTTAAAATTAAACAAGAATAATGTGGTAATATATTTTGTCAAACTAGCTTACAAGCAAAGTGCTTATAAGCCAAAAAAAAAAAAGCATCTCCTGCCCAACTTATTTTTTTTTTTTTTGCTTATAAACTCAAAAAAATTATAAATAAACAGGTCAACTTAATTTTAGAGCTTATAAGCAACTTTGACCAGCTTATAAGCTTAGACAAACACCTTAATTAGCCGTTCTAGAAGCCTAAGGTCATTATGGTCATATGGTAAATGTGTTTAAACTAAGAAAGTAGGGCCCCCGCAACACACTTGTGCTCATGTCTAATTCAGTTGCTCATATTAAATTTCTTATGTTCAATGTTCTCTTAACCGTAAATATCAAAACAAGCTTACTCTTAACCGTAAATAGGTCAAAATTTGTGTGACAAAGGCTATGTGTGTATTGTGTAACAACCATAAACGGGGTTAGGTCAATATTCTTATTAAGTCGCTCTCAAAATTAATATATATATATATATATATATATTTTTTTTTTTTTTTTATTTTTACTTGTAGGAGAAGTTATTTCACTCTTCGTTGGATACGTTAGATCCATCTAGACCGTGAAGATCATTAGCTTTAAGCACATGCAATCAGACCGGGACTCCCTCTTGCTATTGTTCTATCATCAACACTTCAACAGTATTAAAATCACCATATAACTGAACATAACATTATTAATTTTCATTCTTTTTATGTCTCTAATTAAATCCTAACACAAAACTTATAGCTTGATAAAAATATCCAGAAGTAAAAAACTAAATAGTTTTCTAATAAACAAAAAAGGAATTCCTCAACCTCGTCTCCAAACATGCCATATAAAACAATGCATCAACTTTAAATTTTACTCAACTTAGCTAACAAGTACAAATAATAAACCAATATGGCAAACATCAGAGCAACTATTTAATTAATTTCTACAATATCAGCTAAAGATTTAGGGACAATCCATGCCAATCATATGTCAGATTCAAGTGGCTATTTATCAAGATTTCATATGCCCAAAATGTGACAGCTGCACAGATATTTGGTCAAAATGAAGGAGTTTGATGTGAAGGCGACATGGACAGAGCTGTGTGGTGGGTGAAAGTTCTGTCAACACACATGTTCATTCTTATCTTATCCTTGCATATGGTAAATTAAAACTAAGAATGCAAATGAAAGTACATATCTCTATCTCTGAACTAGAAATTACAAACCCATATTCTTGAGAAACACAGCATGTAAATGAGAGCCTATTCAGGTTATCAAAATGTTCTACAAAAAATTTGTATAATATATTACATTTTAAATTATTAAAATATAGTAATATACTGAAATTAATACAAATATTATTTATCTATAATCGAATTAAAAATAATTTCTAAGAAAAATAAAAATGTATCATTCTTAGTTCAACACATGTACTTAAATATGTAGTTATCCGTAATTCTTGTTTGTTTGATGAATCTTGTAATCTTGAAAACCAATCCTAAACTGATTCATAGTCCTCGACAGCTAGAAATTCAATATTCTCCACACTATATAAACCCAAAACGATTCTGTTTTTTCAATTTACTTCGAGAACATTGGTTGCTTGCTCTGCAAGTTTCATCGAAAACACTTCTGATTATGGCTTTTGCTAATTCCCCCAAAGAAAGCCTCTTGCTTTCTCTTAGTAATCTTTCTCTTTCTGGTCATGGCTCTTCAACTTCAAGAACCCATCAGCCAAGTCCCATGCCACCCACCCACTGTGACTCCTTCCTTTTCACAAAGTATCTGAACTGTTAGTTGATTTTAGGATAGAGATTCTTCTTGGACAATTCAATAAGGTTTTGATATTACATTTCAGGATGAGCCTCTTTCTTGTTCTAATTTGGTCTGCGACATACGAGGATGAAATTTACTTGGCTCCTTCAAAATGTCTTGATTGAGGATGTTTATGTAAGTTGCTTAGAGAGTGCAAATTTCCTCTGAGCTTCATGTGTAGTATACAGCCTTTGTATATAGCTGGATTGAAGAAATATCATGTTGGCATCTCATCTTTAAGGATGAAAATTGTTTAGCAAAACATCTGCTATCTTCATGAAGAATTTGGTTCATTCTGTTAATAGTGCTTTTGGTATGCGCCTCTAACCAATGAATGATGGATGAATAATGTATATGATTTTGTAAGGCTCAAACTGACAGCTAATATCAAGAACCAAGGGGAAACCAAAAGCAGGTTGAGGATGTAACAAACAGAGACCTGAATTTTAGTGTAAAAAAATGAGTCATAAAAGAAATCAGAATAACGAAAAGGATTTATCTAGCTCTAGCCAATCCTGAAATCTGTCTTAGTTGTGCACGTTGTGAAATGGTCCCAGAATCAGTCAGTCAATCTGATAGCATCTTCTTAAACCTCTTGGTAAGCAAGCGACAATCTTGACCAATAGCTGTATGTTTTCTTTTTTCTTTTTTATAATTTTATCTTTTATTAATAAAATTTTTAGACAATTCAAAAAAATGAATTGCACACACTCGATGTATGCGTCCCAGTCTAAGATTATGGAAGTACCGAGCATTTATTGCTACTGTGGAAAAAAAAAAAAGGTAAACGGAAATCAGAATGAGGAAAAGTATTTATCTAGCTCTAGCCAATCCTGATATCTGTCTTATCTGTGCTTGCCGTTAAATGGTCCCAGAATCAGTCAATCATTCTGATAGCATCTTCTTTTGAGTTTTGACAAATAGCTGTATGCTGTAATAGCTGTATGTTGTGAAATGGTGTCCGCCCATCTCATAAAAACGAAGCAAAAGCAAGGTTGCCTAAGAGTGAAAAAGTTAAATAAAGATGATGATAATAACGGGGCTTAGAAACGTCATGGAAGTTAGCTTACATGACAAGGGTCAAAGATATTTGATTTGAACAAATTACAATTAAATAAATTATAATAGTAGGTTGAAATTTGTAATTTTGTTTTGTTTTACAATTAAATAAACTATATGCATTATTTTTTTAAAAATATTATATTTATAAAAATTGTATACAAAATCTTTACTATAAAGTGACGATGAATTAATATAAAAATTAATTTAATAAATTCATGTTAAATGATAATAAATGATAAAACAATGTAAGAATAGTGTCACGTCAGTCACATCACTTTTATGGATGACCTTATTTTTTAAAGTATTTTTATATCTACAAATATGTCTCTACACAATGTATAAATGCATCTAATAATCAATTAACGGATCTTCATTAATAAATACTAATTATCGTATACATTAATAACATCATTTTGTCATTTAGATTAATAATGCTACCTGTCACGATGAATTTATCAACTAATTCCAATGTATTGGGTGTTATAAATTAAGATTTAACTAGTTTTAAATGTTTTTGAACATATTAACATTATATTATTATATATTAATTCTAATAAATATTGTAAATTAATTATAGAACAAAAAAACTCATTTACTAGCAGTAGATGACAGTCTTACAATATTTGAGTAATTTTCAATTTTCAATAAAAAATATGAAAAATATTTTTTACCAAATATGGTTTTCTAATTCAATCTCAATTTTATTGGTCTATTACTAGGGGTGTTCAAAAGCGGTTAACCGAACCAGTTCACCACTTTTTTTAAC